TTTTATCCATTTTGTCTGTTTATTACTTGAGATTAATTTTGGAACCACTCAAGGTGCTGTGTTTTTAAGAAAAGAGTGAATATTTATTTTAAATTATTTTATCCATTTTGTCTGTTTTCAAACTGCAGGTCCATGGCCATGAAGATGATGTAAATACAGTGGCATTTGCAGACGATAGTTCTCATATTCTGTTCTCTGGAGCAGATGATGGTCTCTGTAAGGTTTGTATATCAAAATATATTCTTTGAAATGGAAATAAACTTATTAAATAGACCAGTTCTTGTGGTAGAATAAGAAACAAACCTTTAAGTGGTGAATTGGGTGATCACTTGTAGGTTAGAGCTTTTTTCAACACATTGTGGAAAATAATCAGAGATTGTATTGTTTTGCTTTAATTACTACACTCTGTGATTGTTGCGGACAACTTGTGCCATCCTCTTGACAAATCTGATGCAATGGTAAAACCAAGTTGCACTTGGTTGCCCACATTTTACAGCACTTGAGGAAGTCTGATCCCCCCCAGAGTTTTAATAGTGTCCTTTTGAGAGATGCTGTGGTCTGATGGTCAGTGTACTGGACTTGTTTTCTTGGGAAAAACACTTTACTCTCACCATGGCTTTCTTCACCTGGGAGTGTAAATGGGTACAAGCAAATTGTCAGGAGGGAAGTATAATTAAATGCTGGGGGATAAGCTTGCAATGGACTGGCATCCCATCCAGGGGGGGAGAGAGTAGTGATAATCTTAGTGGCTTCATGCAAAGGAAACTGGGATAAGCAGTCACTGGGTGGGTCAATAGCCTAGAGTACAGACTTAACCTTGGTGATGTTCAGCTATTTTCTGATTGCCTATTAGTGATTATGATGATTTTTTTACTTGTGGTCATGATAAAAAAAACTATGTTATATATCAGTCAGTGTTGATTTTGCCAGGAATTATTTGTTATTAAGTATTTATGTTTTACTGCTGAACTTAAAGGCAGAATTAAGATGCAGGTATGAAAGGCCTGAAATGAACATTTATTTCTTTTTCCTCATAATGGAAGAATTAACTTAAAAAAGTAACTGTGTTGGAGATAAATATTCTTGTAGCCCTTATTTTCTGCTTTGATAGGTCTGGGATCGCCGGCAGATATCTGAGACTTGCCCATGCCCAGTAGGTGTTTTGGCTGGACATTCCGATGGCATCACCCACATTGATCCAAGGGTAAGTTACAAATGAGTTAAGCTCTGGTTTGACTTCCTTAAATGCAGACCCTATTTAGGCTTAACCTTGCTTGTCTAACAGGTACATTATCTTATATTGATTACACCTGTCTTCATTTCGAAGTTTGATGTGCTTTTTAGACCAAATACTGTCTTCTATTTCTTGGAAATGGGTAAATCAAAGTGTCATCTGTCTAATGATAACTGTTTGGCTTGTTGTAGGGAGATGGGAGACACCTAATCACTAACTCTAAAGACCAAACAATCAAATTGTGGGATATGAGAAAGTTTTCTGCTGAAGAGGGCATCTGTGTAAGTGTTTCTTTACACCTCTAACTCTTACATTATCAAATGAATTTAATTTATCAAGCTGACAAGTGATGAAAAAAAAGACGATATCAATTAGGGGATTATTAGTTGAGCCAATACCAAATTCACTGAATCAACATCATAAGAATTTTATGGCAGACTGTAAGGAGAATCACAAATGAGATCTGGGGGAGTGATAGGGTTAATAAAGTTTACATAACTTTTTGCTCTTCCTCTTCCATTTTTGTTATTGGTGAAGGAAGATGAATCATAAGTAACCCTTTCACTTGCTATACATTTTTAGTGATTCTCTTTACTATCTGCCACAGAATTCTTATGATGTTTGTTTGGAGAATTTGAGAGTGGATCAACTAATAATCCCTTAAGCAGAGTTTCTCTCTTTTTGGATCAGTTAGGTTTAATTCCTTTGAGAAAAAAAATAACCTTGTGCCTCATTGTACATGGCTAGTGCTTCTTGCCTGGCAACATACTTCAGCAGGCTTACATTTGTCTTGCAGGCTACAAAACGTGCGGTATCTGGTCAGAGGTGGGACTACCGATGGCAACCTGTCCCCAGAAAATGTAATTTTACTGTGATTTACAACTTAGTTGTTGTTCCTCTATAATGAATAGTATTTATGGTATGCTATTTGGCGCAAAATAATGAATCCAAGTAAATTCTATGTTCTTCTTTTTGCTGACCTAAGCAGTGAGACGTTCCAAGCTGGCTGGTGATTCATCTGTCATGACTTATCGTGGCCACAGTGTTCTTCACACTCTTGTTCGATGTTACTTCTCACCTGTGCACACCACAGGACAGGTAACTTAATCCTGCTACTAGTAGAGAACTTATATGATCTTCACTTTCCCAAGCTGAGATTAAAGGCAACTGTTGCAATACTCTAAATTGAATCTAGAGTTAATAGTAAAAATAAATAGGTGGAGTGTCCACTTGAAACAAAGGATGCGAGCAAGTGCTAAATACTGGAAAAAGCACATGACTATCACGGGTCTTAGCTCTGCATAATACAATGAATATTTACAACTTTTTGGAGCAAGCCTGAACAGTGAATATTGAACTCACTGGTATTTCAGAAATTTTGTTTTGTTCTTGTTAGATTTTTCTCTTCCATTTGAAAGAAAAAACCTTGAAAGAAAGAACCTTGTAAGCTAAAACCCTGTAAAAAGAGTCTGCTCCCAACTATGGCTTCATGACTGGTATATGGGCGGCAAAGGTTTAAATCCAGTCAAAGCCTGAATTTTTTCAGGTTTCTTCTTCATGGATCATTACTTTACTTGATTTTTATCTTTCTTTAGCGATATATCTACTCTGGATGTTCCACTGGCACTGTTGTTAGTAAGTGCCAGATTACTGACTGTATTCATTAACTAAAGGTAGAAGTTACATCAAAGACTGAGCTGGTAATAGTTGTTTTCCCTTTCTTTTTGGTCACAAAATAGATAGCTTTTTATCAAGTCTTTGTTTTTGTTTTTGTTAGTTTATGATGCCCTGACTGGAAAAATTACCTCCAGACTAAGTGGACATGTATCCTTTTTAACAAAAAAGCTAAAAAAATTAATAATTGCCATGGGGGAGGGGAAGAAAAAAGTTGGTGAGTAAAAAATGTCGGGAGAAAGTCACCACTTTGTTTATCAAGCATATGACAAGCAATAAACATTTTCACAATTTACCATAGTTTTGTTCTAAAGATATTTGTGCAATAGACAGCACTCTCTATCAATTTTTTTTTCATGTAATTTATAATTGGTAAGCATAAGGTTTCAGACTTCCAAGCTGAAGCAAAAATGACAAAAAACCACCAAAAAAGTGACAGCTGAGGTCAGCAGTGCACTTATAAGTCCTACATTATAAGAATAAGAGAATAGTTTCATCCCATGTACATTATGTTCACCTTGACTGTTACACAGAGATCAGCAGTGCGAGATGTATCATGGCACCCTTATCAAAAGGAGATTGTCAGCACTTCTGTGAGTAGCTGTAAGGTTTCAAGCAACAGTTCTGTAGAATAAGTGTAGCATGATCCAGTTATAAATGGCAATGGTAGAATTTAATTTGCTCTGTTCCTGGGAACAAAGTAGATCCACACAATTCAATTGTTAAGTAATACTGAATCAATGAATGAAAGCCTTTATTTAAAGAGGGTAGCACTTAATAGCCAGAGGCTAATAAACTTGTGGCCCTCACAGATTACACAACTATATACAATCAGATAAATATGTTAGCTAAAATATGTAAACATTTAAAATAAGCATTAAAAATAAGATAAGATTCAATTAAGAAGATATTATTAAATAGTAAAATGATTCAAACATTGTTGTTCTTTTAAAATCTTGGCAAACATGTTCTTTTTATAACATGCTATAGAATCTAGTTTCCTAATTTCAATAGGTATACTATTCCACAGTCTTGTAGCCGAAAGAGCGTCCTCCCTCTGATTCTCTTTTATATTTAGGACAAACAGGATTAATGCTTGAATATCTAGTGTTGCGGGAGTGCCACTTCTTATTCAAAATTAAGTGTTCATTTAGATAATTCGGCAAACGCCCATTAATTCGCTTATACATTATTATGCATTTATCTATCTTATGTTGCTCATAAAACGGAATCCAACCTAGCTTGTTAAACAAAGCAACTGATGGTGTCGTGCGATCGGCATAAGAAATAACTCGTGCCGCACGTTTTTGCAATCTTAAGACCCAATAAAGGGANTATGTTCATTAAATGACAATTTGCTGAGATTACTACTTATATCTAGCATGTATCTGACATTTCCAATTTAAAAATGGCATATTTGAGAATTTAGAATGTAATTTTATTACAAATATAACCCACGCTTTTCCCACATTAGTATGAAAGGGGCTTGACAGATGTTTAAAATACAAACAACAAGTTATGTGTACTCTACTTAATTAGTGCACTTGGATACGAATACATTTTACTCTCTATCTAAGTATCTGTCATTTCCAATAGAAAATGAGAATACAGAATGTAATTTTATTACAAGTGTAACCCAGTAATGTCCTTCATCAGTGCAAAATGGGCCTCAGAAATGGATGTCTAATACTGAGGTTTACGAACACAGGATTCATAAGGCTGCAGCAGTCATGAACTAAAAGCTACTTACTATGCCTAATCTGTTCTTTACCTCTCTAATAGTGGGATGGAACACTTGGCTTGTGGAGATACAAAAGGCCACATGATGATGACGAGGATGACAAAGAAGAAGAAGAAGATTCAGAATCCAAGCAGCAGTCTATGGGGCCCTGTCGTCGCTCTATTCGTCTCAGAAACCTCTTACATTTATAAAATCACAAAACTGGTGATTTACAAATTCATTTTAATTTAGAAACATGTTGGCATTTTCTCTCATGGACTTGCGCACTTTATCTGTAGTCCATACATGTGTAAGTAGCAAACAGGTAACTTTTACCTAAAAATGGACTGGCAGTCTCTTTGCACAAGCTTGCTTGAGCAGGCTGTCTCAGTTTGCCATATCTATTCTCGCCAGCTTTGTGAAATTTCATTGAGTTCACATGAGAAAGTTTTCCTTAAAACAATAACTGGGAGGAAAAAACTTTCCATGTGAATGGATCAAGACCAAAAGATGCCCTATTAACTGGCTATCTTTTTCTTGCTGTTATCAAAGGAAGAAGGCCATCGTCTCTCTGTATATACAGTTTTCTACTTGGTGCGAGTTTTTCATTGGTTAAAACATGAAAACAGCTCTGATTATACCCGACAGTGTGATAAATGTTGAGTGTAGGGCGCAATTTTGCTGCAAAAGTATCAAATAAATTTCACCAGGACTGAGTGTAATCCAATGCTATCTGTAATTGGTCAAGTAAATATTTGTTAATCGTGAGTATTATTACAGACAGAATTGGATGACACAAAGTCATCTTTACAAGCAGTTGAAACCATGAAAAACTGTGAGAAAGAAAATACTCACTGATTGATTGTATTCACATATGAAAACAAAACAATTGATTTTCTGCAACAAGAATACATACAATATAGCCTATTTAAAAGCGGATATAAACCAGGCCTTGTAGTAACATTGCACAGGTATGGCATGAGAACTACCCCATAGGACTGTCAAGTTATAAGCATGAGGCGTACACTGTGACATTAGTTCTCAAATTATGCTGCTGATAACCGATCATCTTAAAGAATTTTATCCCATAGTCTCAATTGATTTTAAAATACCTTTGAAACAGACCAAATACTTGTAGAAGGAAATTGCTAGAAGTGTAAGATAAACGGAACACTCTAAAATGCCTACACAATGTTTATAAATGTGAGATAGGTAACAGTGGATTTTTTTTTTAATATTGTAAGACTTGGTAAGAAGATGAAGTCAAGAATAGGTAATATTCTTATTTCACGTGATAGTAACAAAATGATAAACTGCTAAAAGTGGTGATTGTGACTAGGATTTAAAAATGCAGTATTTTATGTATTTTCTTGTAAGTCTAAAGTTGATTTTTATATTCATCTTAGTGAACTTGAGACAATAGAGACTTAAAGCAAACCAAGACAATGACAGAAACTGAGATAAGACAAAACAAATGATCTAATAAGCAGGACAATAGCTCAGCATGTGCCTTTTAAAACAAGGTACATTTCTTAGTTGTCCTCTGCAAAAGAATGGTATGTACTTCATGGCTGAATGCCATATAGACGACATATAGTTTTATGCCGTATAGACGACATATCCATCGTTTACCATCCCTATCCATCGTTTAGCATTCCTCTGCATCCTTTACCATCCCTATCCATCCTTTACCATCTTTATCCATCCTTTACCATCCCTATCCATCATTTACCATTCCTAGCCATCCTTTATTATCCCTAGCCATCATTTGCCATCTCTATCCATCCGTTATCATCCCTATCCATCATTTACCATCACTAGCCATCCTTTAATATCCTTAGCCATCCTTTACCATCCCTATCCATCCTTTACCATCCCTATCCATCTTTTACCCATCCCTATCCATCCTTTACCATCCCTATCCATTCTTTACCATCCCTATCCATCATTTACCATCCTTTACCATCCCTATCAATCATTTACCATCCCTAGCCATCCTTTACCATCCTAATCCATCCTTTACCATCCCTATCCATCATTTCCCATCCCTATCTATCATTTACCATCCCTAGCCATCCTTTACCATCCCTATCCATCCTTTACCATCCTTTACCATCCCTATCCATCCTTTACCATCCCTGTCCATCCTTTACCATTCCTATCCATCATTTACCATCCCTAGCCATCCTTTGCCATCCCTATCCATCCTTTACCATCCCTGTCCATCCTATACCGTCCCTATCCATCCTTTACCATCCCTGTCCATCATTTACCATCCCTAGCC